TGTGCTCCCAGTTGCTTTCTGAATCCAATAAGGTTGGACATAGCACCGATATTGCACATACAGGAAGTTCTCAGTCCATGCATTCATGCCAAGTAATGGGCTCTAAATACAGCTATCCTTTCACCCTTGATCTGAAACATCCCCAAAGGACTGATGGCTGCTTAGCTGAAGCCTGCTGTGTGAAAATTTCTAATGGGGTAGAAAACCGATTTTACAGAGGCCTTGGGAGATCTTTCCGTTCGTGGTTTTCCTCCAGATCCCTAGATGAGTCAGCTTTGAGTAAACAGAATGAAAAAATGGAGTCGTTGAAGAACACAGTTGGGTGGACAAACAGCACGGTATCAATTCAGCCATCAAGACACTGCAGCTTAGACCTAGGTTGCCATGGATCATTGTTGAAAGAACCCGTTGACTACGATGAAGTGTTCATGAAGCATATGGCTTGCAAGAAAATGGAATGGCTGACGGCTTCGAGATCAATGAGAGATTTCAATGGCGAGCCACCTGCATTAGTCCAAAGCCACAGTGGTGATGCCTCGTTTCTCAGTAGTCCCGTTAGAAACATAAACAATGGTTATATCCACCCAAGCAATACTCGACCCTTTCCAGGCAAACACATCCAAAGGACTTCTTCAGTTAGCTCTAGCGAGTCTGTTGTAGATGCTGCTGTGGCCGTGGGAAACCAGGCCGATCTTGGAGAGGATGCCAAAGCCTTCATGCGTTACTACCATGTATTTCGGGAAGGGGAGTTGTTCGCTTTGCTTGAAGAAAATGTGCCTGAGGTTCACGTACTGAGTTCAAGCTACGATCATGGGAACTGGTGCATTATTGTGAAGAAGAATGAACCACAACAGAGATGAACTATGAAGAATACAGCTGTCAGAGATTGCTTCCCGTGGAATTTTAGAGACCTTCGTTCAATTCTTGCCACCATTTTATGTGCATCGATATAACATGCGCATAAAGGATGCCATAGAGGGGGAAGAGGGTACTAGACATTTTGAGGAAACACAGGTGTGTTACAAATAATATTTGTCATAATTTGATATTGCTTTTACGAAATCTGTTTTGTGTTTCAAAACCCCCCTTTTAAAAGAAATTTCATATAAGATAAGGAAGAACAGCTTTTTTCATCCTCTCCCCACAAATTATCCTGCTGAAAATATCTGTTATGAGCAAAAAATTGCTAAGTTAACTACTTGGGGGTGCAACTTCACAATTGCAAACTGGTGGCTACCCCCTTAGTAGTAGTGACCATCTCCCAGGGCCATTTTACATGGGCCAAGTGAGTTGGGATGGGGAAGAATGGATTCTGTGATATCCACATGGCACATGGGGTCCATTTGCCTTATCGTGGAACAAGTCTGTATAATGTGGCCTTTCCCACACTAAAAAAATGTGGCAGAATGCTCTGGAGCTTCCCCAAAGCTCCAGATCTCACTTGCACTTTGCCATTCCACTTGCATCATCCAATAACAGAGGATGGCACCTACCAGTTTCATCCTTGGCTTAGCAACTGGGCATGAAACTAGTGGTGGTTGTCACTTGTGGCATCCACTGACACTAGCTGATCACACTGTGTAACACCATTTTGTCCCTGGGTTATAAATGTATTTTTTCTCATTGTTTATATCATAAAAACACATAAAAAGTTTATTAAATTTCAAAAACGTTGCTTTTGCAGAACATCCAACAGCACATTGGAGTCAGTCTTGACTGGGACCTTACAGGAAGGCCCTGATCTAATGGGATATCAAATTAATTCAGTAATTCTCCATTTTGGGCCCTGTCAGGAAGGGCCCACAGAGTCTCAACCAATTCAACATAGGGTTGTTGTAGATTTTTCGGGCTGCATAGCCATGTTTTAGAAGTATTCTCTCCTGACGTTTCGCCTGCATCTATGAGTTTGTGAGGTCACCTCTGAGGATGCCTGCCATAGATGCAGGTGAAACGTCAGGAGAGAATACTTCTAGAACATGGCCATACAGCCCGAAAAACCTACAACCCAGTGACTTGGCCTACAACCCAGGCCATGAAAGCCTTCGACAATACAATTCAACATAGTTTGTGGCATAGACAAAAACAATGTTTCTGGTGTATAACAGCTGCTTTCAAAGTATGTACTACACAATTAAACAGAAAATAACACTTTCAAATCAGAAACAAAATTATTTTCAAATTTTGTTACATAATGACAGATAAGGAAGGGGCAAAAGGAAGGTATGATTCCTCCTTCCCTCCTTCCCTTGTCTTGTGTTGTTTCATCTAGTGTCAGTGGATGCGATGAGCAACAACCACCAGCAGTCTTAATGTCTGGTGATTTCTGCTAAGCTGAAGATGGGTGGGGGGAAAAAAAGGCTGTTCCAAACTGGATTTGGCACCACTGGGCTGTGTGGACTTTATTCAACTACTGCGCCAGCTCAGTGGTTGATCATGTAGACTCCAGTGGCACTGATCCCGAGTACCTCACTCCAGATCAATATTACTGTATGAAGCCCATGTAGATTGGTTCCCAATTAGCACTGGCCATTTTGGCAAGGGGATTTGGAGAAATAAAGTGCAAAAATAGATCTCCAGCCCCAAACATTGAGCAGATGTCTCTTGTTGTATTTTTTTAAATTTAATAATGTGTATGCTGTAATGCAGGCTTTTACTTTTTAGAATGGTTTTAAAAAACTGTTATCCAAATTGGCTCCAACTACTACAGAATATTTTGTACAACTAAAGCCTCCAAAAATTAAGATTCGACTTCTAATGGAATATTAAGGAGATCGGGACTTCTTCCCCTTCAGCTGTAGCTATTTATTACATACATACATTTATTTTTATATTAGAATGTAGTCATAATGCAATTCCAGTTTGTTATTCTAGAATTTTGATAGCTTTTGCTCATCTTAACCATGTTTGTGTGAAACATGCCATATTTAAATCTAGGTTTATGATTCCAGTAAGTTGTCTTAAACCAAGCGTGGGCAGCTTTGGTAGAACTGGGGACAATTTTATCCCTGGAACTTGCTGTGTACTTTGTCGCCACCAAAAAGATGGGCACAGAAATATTTAGTACAATGCCTGTTGCACAGAAATAAATGTCACTATAACTGGCACCATTATTTCCTGGTACAGTGTTCCCTTGCTACTTCGCGGTTTGCTTTCCGCAGACTCGCTGTTTCGCGGGGATGGAGGAGGAGGAGGAGGAGGAGGGCTTGCTTTCCTTCCTTCCTTAAATGAGCAATCGAGGAAGGAGGAGGGGGAAAGGGGGGGAGGAGGTCTTCCTTTCCTTTCTTCCTCGAGCGAGCAAGTGGGGAAGGAGGAGGGGAAGGGGAAAGAGGAGCGTACCTACTTCGTTGATTTTCACTTATCGCAGGTGGTCCTGGAACATAACACCCGCGATAAATGAGGGGACACTGTATATAGAATTGTAGTCAAAGTCAAATATGTCCAGTAACCTTTGTTCTGCATTATTCTATTTTAAATGATCAAATTTGTATTGGTATTTTGTTTGGGTTTTTGTAGGTTTTTCGGAGTAGGTATTTTGTTTGTTTGTGACTTACAGTTAAAATAAGTTAAAATAAGGATTTTTCGTGAAACATTCTGTACCTGGTTAAAGCAGAGAAAATGATGATTTTTGTAAGAATAGTTTGCACCAGTGTTTCACAAACTTCAGTTTTTAAAATGTTTTAGACCTCAGATCCACAGATACTTGACCAGTAGGCATGCTGTACAATTTTCATCCCTAGTGTACGTCATACTTTAGGGCTTAACTCTTACCAAATTACCGTATTTCCTAGATTTTTTCTTTTCATTAGTGGACTTAGTAAGCTTTCACAGTGGAATATTTTTGTGTAGCAAGAAAGAATTCTGATAGTGAAGCTTTGGCTATCGCCGCATTTAGAAGCTGGGAAAAGCCTCCAAATGGGTTGCAACCGAATGTCATGGGCAACAACAAATTTTCTACATTCTTGCATCCATTAAAATCATACACAGCTTCTTATGAATTAACCAAACAAACACTGTTTGTTTTGGCATTAAAGCACACAACTACTGTCTACAGTGTATAATTATAGCTAGCCATTGTAGCAATGAACAAACAATAGGACTTCGTTCACAGTGCTGCTAGGAAGCTGGTGGTCCTGCCTCCAAATATAAACTCAGTTCCTGACACTATGGTTATATGCACTTTAGCATATTGTTGAAGGTACCGGAGTTCTGTCGAAATTGTTGCTGAGACTTGTGTCTTCTTTAGGTTCCTTTCTCAAAATGGCCTGCTTCTGTGTGGTTTCTCGTTACCATTTTTATGATCCTCCTTTATTTAAAATAATTTAATTCCCTTTGTTTTCCCAGAACAAGGATCACAGCATGTGTATTTTGAAGAAGACCTTGTAGGCTATTGGCATACTACCTTGGACTTGTGCCTTCCTGTCCTCATTCAGAATAGGCTTGAGATTAGAAACATTTACTTTAAACTAAGAACTGAAATCAATCTTAAGTATATTTAGAGCAGGAGTAGACAAAGTGCATCATCACTTCAAATGTTGTTTACTTGCAGTTCCCATCAGTCCTAGCCAACATAGGCGACAAGCAGGAATGCAGAGTCGTACTCTCAATGACATTTGATCCACATTTGTTTAGGAAACAAGTCACTATCAGAAACCACCCTTTGAAATTGACTTGTTTTCTTAAACTATGAGGGTTGAATGAAAAGTAATGCCTCCAACTCCTCAACAGATGGCAGTACTGGTATGCAGTAGGTACTGGCTTGTTCAGTAGACTCTCCTCTACAGTTCCATTTTGACGGGAAGCCTAAACATTGAATGATTGTGTTGCAAAGTGCAAAGTATGGAACCCTGCGCAGATGTGCGGTCAATGCGACTTAAGCAACGTGCAGTCATTGAATTCTTGACAGCAGAAGGTGTCACCCCAAAGGAGATTCATCAGAGAGTGCAAATTGTTTATGGTGATTGTGTTGATGTGAGTACTGTGCATTGTTGGGCGAGAGAGTTTAAAGATGTTGAGGTTGGAACATCTGACTTGTATGACAAATAAAGAGTTGTACGTCCTGTGACAACAACCACCGAGTTTCCCAAGCAAAAGGTTGACAGATTGATTCAGGATGATCATCGTACCACTCAGAGAGAAATTTCAAGCATAATCGGCATTTCACAAGAACATGTGGGCCACATTATTGCTTTGCTTGGCTATCGGAAGATTTGTGTACGATGGGTTGCGGAAACAGAGTGTCGACTTCTGTGATGGGTTTAGAAAACTTGTTCATCATTGGCAGAAATATATCTAATTGTCTGGTGATTATGTGGAAAAATGAATAGTGGTAGTTAAAGAGCTCATTCTAAGGATTATTTCTGTGTTTGATTTATTAAAAATATTCCCATGCAAACCCAAGTAACAAAGGTGGAGGCATTACTTTTCATTCAACCCTCGTATAGTCCTCCTCCTGATGGCACTGGAGGTTGAGGTTGACATATTTAAGATCTGTTGACATTGTGTCAAATATTAAGTATTGTGCCAGATAACAATCAAAATAAATGTTCAAAAGACAATTACTATTTGAGTAATTGTTGCAATAATAAGTAAATTTTCTATTTGTGAAGAAATTGTCTTCCATACTTTAAGTGAGTTTCTTAAAACTTCTCTGTTTTGTTAATGAAGATGTGATGTATCAGTATCAAGAAAACTGTAGATGAAATCTAAACCTGTCTCATAGCAAAATGACAATATTCTTACCTTTGTGTAGACATTGTCTTTTGTCAACAAATAGTGTTTCCCACTAGCAAAGAGCTCTTTAGAAAACTGACGTGGATTAACAGCTTGTTCGCTGACACATCCTAGGCATACGTTTTGATGATGCCCCTTGGCAACGTGCATAAATGTGAGCAAATACTTGATGACAAGGTTGCCCTTGGTTAAAACCCTTGTATTATGGTGAGGATGCTCTAAGGATGTCAGAGCTCGGCTTTGTATTCAAAATGAGAGCTGTAACCACTGTTCATGAGCTGAACAAACACTTGAGAAATTTGCAATATTGAATGTTACGATTCTCATGTTGGGTACAAGTGGCTCTTTA